CCCCTCAGATCTTTGGGATTATTTAATATTAAACATATTAAAGCTCTCAGTAGCACTGCAACTGTTTGATGTTATAAAAAAAAATTTCGTAATTTGATGTTAACGGGAAGAGGACGGCCATTAAGGACGTTAAATAAAATCAAGAATGTTCCTGTTAATTGTAGTTTTTAACCGACTTCCAAAAAAGGAGGTTTTCAATTCGAACGTATATCTTTTTCTTTTTCTTTACAGACAATTCGTGAGCAGATTTTAATGATTCTATTTTTGTTAGAAAGAGGGTACCTCAGAAGTGGTCACATTTAAATTAGAAGAAAATATTCCACCTCTAAGGGTGGCAAACTAGAGGATGAATGACTTCGAGGTCGTTTTTTTAAATTTTTTTTTTTATACATCAAATAATATATATAAATTGCTTAATCTTGACGTAAAAAAGGCAATGTAATGAAAAAGCCAGTGGGCATAATTTAGGACATTACGATCTACTGTGCCTGCATGTCATGACACTGTTTACGAGCAAGTGAAATGAAAAAGATATTATAATATCACAACTCTATAAGAGACCTCAATTCAATGCTACTAGAATTAAGTTTTTACCACATTCAACTTTGTGCTATATTTATCAAAGCATCAAGAACGTAACACCCGAAAGGCAACCTCTTACCAAACACTCGAGTCTCGAAATAGTAAGTCCTCGTGTTCGATATCAAGCCGGCTGTTCTCAGCCAGTTCCTTCTCTGCTGCTTAAATATTAAGATGGCCGCAGGAGACGCTTGTTATTTATGGTTAACTTATTTATGTGTACGTTCTATGTTGTATTTATGTGATGTTCTTTAATAAATTATATCTCTTTTTATTTAAAAATATAGGAAGTATCAACTGTTCCTTAATGATCGCACTGGGTCGTGGTTGGTGGACCAAATCTCTTGTAAATCCTAGTATTTTGAAATTTAGCATCTATTGAAGAAGCCTGGTGATCATCTTTAGGTTGTAAATTGGACAATTTCACGTGTAATTTGTTAACCTACGAAATTAATAAATGAAATATCAGTTTTAATTGTGTTATACAACATGTTGTTTTTTCTTAAATGGGACGAAATCCGGAACCAAGTCTTAAGAACCATTAAGTCTTTTTAACCCGGAGCTTTTAATCGCCAAGATCTTTTGGGCACTGCCACTGTGTCCGTCACTCTGAGATATAAGTTGACACGTTCCATGCACCTGTAATTTTACCAGCACTCTAAGGTTACTTTTCAAGAACAGTGGCTTAAACAATTTGTTTTTTTGTAAATAAGACACCGAGCCTTTTATGGGTAAAAATAACAACACGACGACCTTACGCGCTAGACGCGCCTCCGTTTTTTAAACCATACTCATGAGTGGTTTTTTGTTACAGGCCGCTATTTTATAAAGCAATCGATATATTTTCCTTGTTCACATGTTCTTTATCTGTTGCCTCTGTTCTCTTAATTCTGTTGTCTTAATCGAAGACGTACCTTACGTAGGTAGTAATTACCAGCGTCGGCCATGTTTCTTCACGCGCGTTCATTTCCTGTGAACGCAAGTACAATTGTAGTTACACATAGGTTTCGTTTACCGAATAAAACGACAGATAATTAGTATTCATGGGGCCTAACTTATCATATAATAATAATAAAATAATTATATCATATCATAAAAAATTTATAAATTAATAAATTATTATTTTCTTCTGGATAGTCGCATACGACTTCGCAATTAAATCTTTTAATATTCAAAGCGTGGTCTTTATAGTCTTTCTTTTATGTCGCAAATTGCTTTTTAGGGGAATTGACTTTCTAATCTCACATGACCTTTGAAGACTGAATGAAGCATTCCAGATATTTACTCTCCTTTATTGTGATATGGATCATATGAGGTGCAATGAATTCATTAATTTTATTCCATTTTACCTTGAACGGTTTGTTTTTGCTTATCGAAGCTTTACTTTCATAACTGTTTATATTTATACATTTTTTTCAACAATCAATTATTAAAATATAATAGTGTTTCTTATGTTGGATACAAGCAATCGGCCAGTAGAAGCGAATATTGTAACCTCTGAATTTTACGGAATTTATATGCGACATTTAATTTGACTTACCATGAGCTCGTCGATGAGGACACCGTGAAAAAAGCTGCACACAATTGCAAAGCAATTTGATGATGTGTGAAGTTTCCAATCCGCAAAGGGCCTGCGTGGGAATTACAACCCAAGCTTTCCCATTGTGAGCCTACCAGCAGTGGGACTATATACGCTAACCATTATTATTTATTACACATGTATACTATACATTAGTACACGTGCCAATATAGCTACGATTATACATTACTAGCTCCAGATACTGAAAATTATATATCTTTGTAATTATAATTAACAGTAACTGATGACGTCATTAATGCTTATTCGTAAAAAAAGGACAGACAAACGTAATTTGAATTTAATTGTCTAGAACTCACAGTTACGGTCTGCTGCAGGAGAATGTAGGTAATGATATGCCATCTATACTACCTACTTTATAGTTAAACCTCCTTACTAAACTGCAGTGTTAGAATTATAATGCAACTATCGAACACTAAGAAATAATTCTTTCAATCTGGTGGAAAGCGTCTTCCAGCAAACCATGCTAGATGCCAACTAAGCCATGGAACGAACCAGCGGACCTTACGATTTTTTCTGTCCTTGTCGCAGGTCTTTGTTTTACCAAGTCCCATGTGCCTGTAACTTCACCAACAGACCTTCAGTTCCAGAACAAGCCATTAAATATCTCGGAGAGCATCGGGATCCTTGGTGTCGACATCTCTTGTGACATTCAGTTCCGTAGTCACTTAGATGGCAAAGTCAACTTGGCGTCCAAAAAGCTTGGTGTGCTAAACAGGGCTAAGCGGTATCTCACTTCGGAGCAGAGACTGCTACTTTATAAGTCACAAGTCCGTCCCCACATGGAATACTGCTGCCATCTTTAAACGGGAGCTCCTGGATGCCAGCTTGGGCCCTTTGACGCGGTTCAAATACGTGCTATGAGAATTGTTGACGATCCTGTGCTTGCAGACGATATTGAACCACTGTCTTGGAGGGGAGACTTTGCCTCCCTACGCCTGTTCTATCGCTTGTACAATGGCCAATGTTCTGAAGAACTGTTTTACATGATGCCAACAGCAACATTTTATCATCGCACCGCTCGCTACCGGCAGGGAAGTCCGTGTCGATCTCGTTCTGTACGGTTTCATGTCGGGGTTTTCCCGCAGGAATACAGCATGGAGTCCGTCAAAAGGGGTTTGAGAAGAAGAGGGTCCTAAAGGGTCGGCAACGCGCTCGTGACGCCGCTGGTGTTGCAGGCGTTCATAGGCGACGGTAACCGCCTATGCCTGTTTGCTGCTTACATAATATATAAAAAAACCTTTAGCCTTCCAAACCGGAACGCAGTAATGCTAACATTATTGCTTGGCGGTACGATGGCAGTATTTCCCTGGACGAACTCTGTCCCAACGTGCTCTACTGCTGCTAAAACTTTTTTGAACTTTCAAATCTTGCTTTCTCAATTCCATTTCTCAATTCTATTTGGTTTTTATTGCAAGATTTTTTTAATGACAAGGAAAATTGTTCATAATGTCTTAAAAAAGGAATTTTGATATGTTAACTATATTTATAAAAAATATGACATAATTATGTAATTTAATAAAATGACAAATGTTATGACTATTATTATATAATTCTAGAATAATTTGACAATTTTTTTTTTTTAAATACTTTAGACTTCAAATTCATTGACTTTTCAGAAAATATTTTGTTTAGATTTAATTATCATTATAATGATATTTTAATTAATGGTAATCAAAATGTGTATTTAAAAAATTGACATTGCTACGCCCTTGCAGGGTACATGTTTGATACTGTAAACTACTATAAGAACTATTATGTAACAACATGTTTCGCAATAAACGTTATTATTATTATTGTGATAATATCTGGGAAAGAAACCACGACCAAAAGGCATAATTACTGTTACACCATATTTATTATCACACTGTATTATTTCACGTACGAGAACATATGCTATTTTTATTATTATATTAAGTAGTAGGCCGCTGATGGACTGCTACGGGCAAAAGGAGAACTGAAGAATCTTAACCCGTGTTAAAAGCTAAGTAGCGGGTTTGAGGGCGCTCAGATGGGCAAGAACATCGAAATAAAACGCTGCCGGACGCTTCCGCCCGAAGGGCGTGCTATAGGAGCGGTAATGACATCATTAAAAACATGTCCATACAGAAACCAAAGGGATAATTATAACACCACGATTTCCACATCTTATTTTACAAATAAGTCGTGCAGTTAATGGTAAGCGACATGCCTGTCCGTAACAGTTGCAACGCTACTAAGAACTTTAAATTACAAAGACTGAGGAACACTTCCAATGCGCCCGCCATCGCGAGACATAAGTTGACAAGTCACATGTGCATGTATTTAATGCACCAACACTCTTCAAAACTGGAAGGCAGTTTGAGCATTACTGAAATAGGTAAGGTGAACTGTACTTACCTGGGCGAAATCATTCACAAGAACCTCTACTGCTAATTAATTAAAGAAAAATCAATTTTAAAAATGGTTAACGCCATCTAACGGTATAAATGAAATATTAAAGACATTCAATATTCAAATGTTTTTGTAGTTATCGTCGTCGCCATACCTACTTCTGCTGCCAAGCATTAATGTGAGCATTGCTGCGTTCCGATTCTGAAGGGTAAGGGTCATGGGACTTGTCAACTTATGTCTCAGAGTGACGGGTTCAATCCAGTGGCTCTTAGATCTTTGCGATTTAAAGCCCTGTGTGGGACTGCAGCTGTGTCGCTTGCAGCTAGGCGCACGACTTGCTCATCCCGTTACTTGATGTCATTAAAAACGTGTAATACGTTGTATTTCGCTGATCATTATGCCTTCCTGGTGTACTATACATACCTGTAATAACACTTACATTTCGATTTTCAGGTATCGTGCAGGGGCCGTGACTATGGCAACCAGCGCTGAAACAAACCCCTGAACGGTGAGTACATGACCTAGTCAAGGAAGCACAAAGGTTTAGGTGAACAGTTTATTAAACTCTGGCATTTGTGTTATTGAAAACGTTAGTTCATTATTTGTTTAGAGACAATGGTATATTTTTGGCAGTTTCACTGTGGAATGTTTCTTCGTTGCTAGAAGAATAGGTAAGGTCGTGAACCTTATTGTAAAAGTTTTTGAGTTTGAGCGTAAAATAAAATTGTTTGAGTTTAAAATTAACTAGCTAAATTAGTTCGACTTTAAAGAAGTCTGTAAAAATACCTTCAGTTCTCCATTATTGTTTCTGAAGGATAACCAAACTAAAATTTCATCTGAACAAACAAGAAATACATGCGCCCCAAATATTGAGGACGTTCAGCGGCCTCGCAATGTCGTTAGGACACCTGTTTCAATACAGTTTTGGTGAAAACAATGTTAAAGTGTTTTCAATATTTAAAGATGTTTCTCCTTTGGCTGGCTAATAAGCTTAACTTGGATGAAGGAGCTACCATCTCGTTCCTACTGTCGAAAGCAATAAGTCGTAGTGGCATGCAATATATCATCAATCAGTAATGTGTTCCGGTTTTAAAGGCTAAGGGTGCTGATGAAGCTACAGGCACATGGGTCTTGCTCGTACCTCAGGGCGGGCGCAATGTCCTTCAGATCTTTGCGATTTAAGAGTCTATACAATCCCAAATGGCATTGGTTGATTCGCACAACAGTGACAATCAATAATTTTGGAAAAAATATGCAATAAAATTGAAGATATACACTGATTTGCATACGCCGTGAAAAAACAAACACAAACTTATCTCGAAATTTTATAAGAAAACCGCCGTATTCAATAAGCACTTTACACACCATAGCAATGATTTTGTTTTAATATCAACTGAACTAAATTGAGCACATAAAGAAGATAATATACATTTTTGAAATGGCATTAATATTGTTTGTAAAAAAACAAATTCTGAAATAAAGCCAGTGTTAATGCCACTCGATGTAATCAAAATGAAACGTATTAGTGCGGGAAAAAAATCTGTTCGAGCTAAGATAGTATCGATTATTAAAGCTCTAATAGTACAGCTAGTGTTGAATAAATCGAAAGCAAAGTGGGTAGATTTTGTCTACAATCTTACATTTACAAATGTCCTAACGTAACCTCAAATGACTTAATAAATAAAGCTGCAAATATCGGTACATCATAAACAGACGAAATCTGACAATGGCTGTCGCAATCGGGTGCGGTGAAGCGGTCACGGACTAGCCCAGTTCCCAGGCTGTGGAGCAATGCTTAATTTGTACCAAACGTGCCTCGCTTTTGTGATAAACTGTGTCGTTGACGAGCTGCAAAATTACAATGTTGGTTTATAATTGAAAACTGTTGACCACTCTCTTAAATTTTAGCATGATAATTTTGCAAACTTTATTTTCAAGCTTTATTTTGCTATCGAGCAGGAAGATTTTTCGAGACTTGAGTGTTTTGGTGAGAGGTTGTCGTTAGGGTGTCACATTCTTGATACTTTCGTAAATATAATACAAAGTTTAATGTGACAGATAATATACTCCAGCGAGCATTGAACTTAGGTCGCTTATATATATATCATGTTAATTTAGTCAAAAGTAGTCAATATTATCTAGTAACCAAGACCGGGTTTTAGAAATACAAGCTTTATACCCCATTTATTTCTGGTAAATACACAATTATATAGGTAACTACAGGTAATGAATAAAAACAGTCGATGTTTAGAAAGTTTTTTACAATGTACCGAAATGCTCCATGCATTTCTTATCCGATATAATTATAAATAAAAAAACATACCAATTCAGGACTAAGATGGTATGATCATGTAAGAGAAAGAAGATCATGGTGTAAGCTAATAATCCTTAATTTGTCAGATGAAATCGAAAAATTTACTTGGTAATTTGGAGAACCCAAAATTGGTTTTCTTGAAGACACCTGACAAGATCCTATTTCCTAAGTAAAAGCTGGAGTTAACCAAGAAGATTTAAAATTTCAATATTGTTGTTATATTGTGTTTAAAAGTTTTTGAAGTTTATTACCTTTTCTAACTGTACTAGATAGCTCAATTTCTTATTTTCTTGATAAATTTCCCAAAGACCTCAGCTGATCAAAATGTCCTATTACTTAAAACGTCCTTTAAGTGTCCACGAGCTCAGGTGAGTCTGATAATGATAATACCAATTTACACATAAAGTTGGTATACCTAATGGTTTTTTAAGAATGAAGAATGATTGTTTCTTGGCAACATTAAGTTGCGAATTCGCGACATAGCAGTATAGGTTTATACTTTATTAAAACGGTCTAAAGCAGGCCCAGAAATTCATTGGTATTTCGTTATATCGCATAAGCTTTGAGTTTTTTTTAATGGAAAGGAACTGATGGTCTGACCGAGTGAAGAAAATGAATTTTTTACCAAATTCTACCACGTAATGGTGCCGCTCATAAATTTTAAGCATTAATGATAGAACCACTATTCGCAGCAGTTAATGGCAAACCAACTCGTGTAAGAGTTTCCATTCTTTCCCAAAAAATCCAAAACTTGAACCTTGATCGTCTAGTTCGCTCTTTAAATCCATGCATCATTAAGATGCGTTCGTCTTAGATGTAAAACAAATTTATTTTTTAACTCCCTTTCTTCTCGTGCACCGCAGTTGTGGAACAGACTCCCTTCCCATATCCAGTCTAACCCGTCTATCGCTTCTTTCAAGAAAAGCGCACTTTCTTGCTGAACTCTCTTTGTAATCATCTTATTGTTTTTTTCATACTTCTTTATGTGTGTATGTGTATATTTATTATGATTAATTATAATACTTATTTAAGTAATGGTATTTTTTCTTTCTCATTCTCTCTTGCACGCTATTGCCCGCTTATTACCTTAGCTCTCACTGCCCCGGGCTGGCTGGAAGAGATCTCTTTTAGTGATAAGTCCACCTTTGCTCACTTTCTGTTAATGTAATATTTCTGTTGCATTTATTTGGTGCAATAAAGCATATATAATACATCCTTTTTTATGATATCCATTAACGGGACGAACACGGTCGAACTTCTTGTGGTAAGGGACACATCTACCCATATTTGTTGCAATGCCACTCAGAGCTTTAAATCGGAAATATCTAGGGCGATGCTATAGCGCCCGTTGCCTTGGAAGACAAACTGAACAAACAAAGATCATATGTGCTTGTGCCCTGAAATTTCCCTGCACGAATTCTTCCACAAGGAGCTATTGCTACTGTTTATAATCTCTGAAATGAAATAAGTTATTAAAAATTGTATTGCGTCAAGGTTTCGAGATGTAAAGGTAAAGGAGTAAAGTTTGCTTCTATTGCGGAGGAATTAGGGCGGTTGTAGGATCGAAGAAAAGATCTAAACACTAGTAAAAGTTATTTGACCGATATAACAAAAACACGAAACAAAATAATCAGATGCCTATTCATCCTTATCTACTTCATTAGTTGAGGAATGCCTCATAGCATGGTCCATTTAATCCGCCTTTATCACACTAAAGAGTTCTGTCAATGAACTGTCTTTTTGCGCCTACCCTCATTCGGGACTAGGTTTATAAATAGATGCAATTTCATTTGAAATTAGTTACATAACGGGAAAGTTTATGTTGTGAACTTGTTTCTGTTTTGTTTGTTTTGTCTTCTGTGGTGTCATTTGTGGTTTCTTTCTGTCTTTCTTTTCTTCAATTCGTTGATTATGTTTCTTTTCATTTAAAAGAGCAATACATCTAACATCTATCGGTTCGTATTCAGTCATAGAGACCGTTCCTTCTTCTATTTCCTATTTCTACCGCCAAGCAGTAACGTGAGCATTACTGCGTTTCGCTGTTGAATGGTAAACGTGCTGATGAAATTACAGACACCCAAGTGTCTTTTCAATTTGTCTCAGGGTGATGGACGCAGCGACTGCTAAGAACAGGCGTGTCGCCTTACCAATAAGCACGACTTGTTCGTCCCGTCCCTCGGTATCATAAAAATATATATTCTACATAAAGGTGTCTTGTAAAGTAGTGATCTATTCATAATAATGGTTTATAACTATTTGCTTATATATAGCATATAACTGTATGTATATATAACAAGGATTATGTATGTATTTACTCATATTAAGAAAAGTATTTAGGTAATATTGTATTTCATTTTTAGACGCACACATCTGTCATTCACTCGCTAGGGTCCATTGAAAACCACCGCCCACCAGCCCATCCTTGGCTGTGGCTTTAGCTGAATGAGATCCTTTTTTCATACGCCACAACCGTACACATGTTAGTATAATATTAAGTTGTATAATAATTATATATATTTGATAAACAAAGTCTTTTTATTAAATAATTTTGACATACAAGTTAAGAACTCTGTAATACAAAATCGTATTAATTATATAACCAGTTGTTATATTTATCTCTCATAATAATGTAGACTGTAGTAAAAACCACATCGTAAATCCAGTTGTCCCAGTTGAAACCAATGTATCATTGCATCTCTGTCTAACGCACATTATCTGCGTACATTCCATCTCTCTCGCAGCATCCATATCGATCGGGGTGGAGGACCTTGACCTTGTGTGGGGTGGAACCAGTAGACGACCTTGTCTTGAAGTTCTTTGAAGAAACGGGACTGATTTTTTGCGATAATTATCGTTCTTTTAATGAGACTGGCAGAGGTGAAAATGAAAAATTAATTTTATTATGGATATGTACGTTATGTAAGAAGTGTATTCAAAAGTATTTTAGTTAAATAAAAATGTTGCGTCACTCATATTCTGTTATAAATAAAGTGTTATAATCTGTAAACATGATATGTATGGAAGGTTTTTGTCTCTGCCTGTCCAGGTGGGAAAATGACGGGAAGTACGTATAATGTACATACTGTATATAACACGCACGTACGTACAATAAAAACACACACACACACACACACACACACACACACTCCTTCTCCACAAATCACAGTGTTCATCTTTTTTTTATTAAGTCCAGC